AATGTTTGGGGATTACGAGCCAGTATGACCCTAGACCATAGTAATCACCACCATCATCGAACCATCATCACCGTAGCAACCATCATTAAGATATAATTATGATTTTCATCATCATCATCATCATCATTCTTACACGTACCTTCGTTATAATATTTATCATGATCGTCTAGGATGATGATGATGATGATGATGATGATGATGATGATGATGATGATGATGATGATGATGATGATGATGATGAGGATGATGAGGATGATGGTGATAATGGTGATGATGGTGACGACGATGATGAGAGGGAAGATGAATTTGGCAGCTTCACCGGTACACAAGTAAGAAATTTTATTTTATTTCTGTATAACACAAGAAACATGAACGACAAAAACTTTAACCTTTCAACTCTCCGCCTCTAGGCCCTACATAGCTTCCATGCTTTTAAAACCCCACAAGGTCTGTAGAAACGAGGAACAACTCTTTATCTTCATGATATATAGCCGAATTCATGACAGCTGACATTCTTGAAGAGATAATATTTTGCTTTCTAAGGTCTTGCCACTTGAACTCGACATGAATGATTATTATTTCTGTATCAATCTTCACTTCTCGACAACAAGAGCGTCAGAAAACAAGCTAAGTGCGTCATAGCGTAATAACTGGGAGAATTGTCCGTATTTATTATAGTGCACTATATTATATTACCGTATGTTATGTTATGTTATGTTATGTTATGTTATGTTATGTTATGTTATGTTATGTTATGTTATGACATAATGCCATGTTATGTTCTGTTAAGGTGCTCATATGACCTTATGCAGTTGCGAGCGCTGTAAAACCTTACTAAAACAAACAAACAATGGTATGTTATATTATTATGTTATGTTATATTATATTATATTGTATTATATCATAATGCATTGCATTGCATTATATGATAATAATATTACACAAGTTTGTCAAAAGTATATTTATATCATACTGGATCACCACGAAAGCAATCCTGATTTCTACCACCGACTGGGTATTATTTAACTTAAACTACAAAGAAATTTTCAAGGTTCCAGACCCATCTGACGTTGTCATATTAGAGATGGAGTTGAAGGCAGAAATCGCCCCCCCCCCCTAATCGTTCTTCCTCATCTAATGGTACCGGTCAAAACCGTCTTCATTAGCAGATATCGCCTGACAAAGTGTCACCATCCAGCTATCCGTATCTCTTGCTGCCCCTGAAACCCGCCCCTGCAGGGAAAAAATGATTGTTCTAAAAATGACATATTTGCACTTTTTTAATAATTCCCATTGTTGACGTCCTCGTCAGTACCGACTTTAAAGTTGTTGTTTTTTGTTGTAGTTGTTGTTGTTGTTGTTGTTGTGGTTGTGGTTGTGGTTGTGGTTGTGGTTGTTGTTGTTTTTGTTGTTGTTGTTGTTGTTGTTGTCGTTGTCGTAGTCGTTGTCTTTGTTGTTGTTGTTGTTGTTGTTGTTGTTGTTGTTGTTGTAACAGGATGATGATGATGATGATGATGATGATGATGATGATGATGATGATGATGATGACGACGATGACGATGACGATGACGACGACGACGACTAGAATAAAAACAAAAAACCCACCTGAAAGTGGCCAGCGCCCAGGTGACAGACAGCAGTGTGGTGAGCGCCACCACGTAGACAGCCCAGGCCCAGCCAGGCTCGTGAGCGTCAGAGAGAAGCAGGTAGCCCTGCAGGAGCAGCAGGGTACAGCCGGAGCTCAGAGCGAACGCCAGGCGCAGCACGATCATCTCCGCCAGCTCCGCCCTGGCCGTGGACGGTGGCGCCTCCTGGAGGACGGCGAAGTGACGAGAGATAAAGCCCAGCTGTAGCAGGTGGAGTATGGCAGTAGCCGTGACCTCGCACCCGCTGGCTGAGTCTCCCTTACGGCGGAGAGTGAGGACGGCCGAGGCGAGCTGGAGGAGGACAAGGGGGATGATAAGGAGTCCAGCAGCGACGCTGAACCACGGCGTCTTCAGCTGGCCTTGTTGGAGAAGTGCGTGGCACAATAGGCCGCTCGCTGCTAGTTCCAGAAGGTGGGAGATCAAAGACACCACCACGAAGACGACGAAGCGAGGGGAGAGCTGTGTGGACGTCATCTTGGCAGTTTTAGATTTTGTCTAGCTTCTTTTCCTTTCTCGTTATCCAGTGAAATACATCCGAGACGAAGCACAACATACACATTAGGAAAAATCAGTGGGAGCTATCCCGTGTCAACACAAGATGATGAATACATGTTTTTTCTTTTCATTTTTTTTTTGGAGGGATTCGACTGTAAATTTGTTGGAATCTGTACTTGATCAGGATATCATGAAATGGAACAAAAAAAGCGTCGTCTTCAGTTACCTTGACTCCGAAGAGTGAATGTTTGGGGATTACGAGCCAGTATGACCCTAGTTCAGGGAACTCGGCGGTCTGTGACGTCGATGCCTGAGATAACAGTGCGTATGCAAAGAACAGAGCATCAACGCACGCATGCAGAGGGCACCACTAGTTCCCACACAGAGGCACGGAAACTCTCACAACTGCTGGGGTATAATCCCTGTGTATCTAACACATCAACAGGTTGTAAGAACTGAGCTTTACGCAGCGTAGGGCGCCCGGAAAAGGCTGCTTTGTTGGGCTATCTAATTATAGTGTATCGCTTTACCGCCTCCTTGTTCGCGGCTTCTTGTTGGGATTAACAACTGCGGGTTTCAAGTTGCCTTCTCGCCGGGGCCACAGGGGTGTTGCCCGCTGAGAGAGAGGCATTGTTTCTGGAGTCGGACGACAACAACGGTGTCCCGGTGTCAAAAAGTTGATATCCTGACCTTTAACCCCCGAGAAAACAAACAGACGGGGGGGGGGGGTACCTCACTTCCAGGGGTGTCCCTACGCGGATAGATCTGATCTGTCAAGCTTGGCAAAAGAATTGTCCTTAGGTAACTGCGAGCTGATGATGTATAAGAAAACTATGCTACTATAAATCGTCTTCGCTATACACTGCCCGAGTTGTGATTTTTCCCGTGCGTGTTTTCTCCTGGCTACACATTAAAGTTTCACATTTCACCAGCGGTATAACATACCGTGACTGTTTATTGCTGCTTAGGTATGAAAGTTACTCCTTTCTCTGATCCCTACCGTGTCCAACGACCTACATGCCCCGGGTTTCCCCCCTGTGGCTAAAACACCAGCCAACCAGCTCACGGCAGTCGTTAAAGGGTCTATGTTTACACCTTTTTTGCTTGCCACTTCCGCCCACACAACTTCGTACGCTGCAAAACCCTGAGATTTACAGTTCGAGTCCAGGGTGTACCCACAAAGAATCAGGGAAGGATGCCGACATGGGAGTCCGCCGTAAGGCAACCCTTGCCTCTGCTCTGGCGTTAGTAAAAGCTCCCACGGATTGAGCCAAGCGTGACAAAAGACAGCTTTAAAACTCGCTGGCGCGAATATTTCGCCACACCATTAACATCTAAGGGGCCGTAGTAGCGCAGGCAAAGTTTCTTGTCACCCCCAACTGCAGGCTCGGCGCTGAGTTTGATCAAACACTGCGGACAAAAAGCCTCTTTCTTCACGGTGAGTGGCCAAACTGTTTAACTTTTACGTACATGACAAACAGAAACAGATGCTCAAGTCTTTACCCGAACAATTCAAGGCAATAGTGCGGAATTTACGGGCTGCATACATTCACACCAAGGCAATAGCAGGCCAGCAGAGCACAAATAACTTCTAATTCATGCACTCTCCTTTTCTGTTTCGGAACTTCTCCTCTCTCCAATGGTTCACCTCCGTGAACTGATGTCGTCACAGCCCAAAGTTTCGCTGATCCCCTGGGTACGAATCGAAGCACGATCTGTGTGTTGGAACAGACGATTTCAGGGTTCCTCTGGCACGTTCAGGGCGCGTAACTCAAGCCTGGTGTCAGTGTGTCGCTCCCGGCTACAGAGGTTGCCGAGCGCGAGAATCGCTAGCTTTTGTTTGCTGGATAAGTGGCAGCCCTACGTGAATAGCCTCCCGGGTCACACTCGTCCAGGGGCGAGAATTAAAATTTGATTGTCCGTGGAAGCTCGCAAAGGAGAAGTTATGTAAATCCTGAGAAGTAATTCCAGTTCCAGATTGGTCGTTTCTTGTGACCAAATATTGAGGTTAATTCTTTTTCTTTCTTCTTTAAGTCACAAAAGCACAATGTTCGTGTCGTCATAAACAGAGAGGAATTCCCCAGACCTGTAAAACATGAGATACCGCGGTCCTTTTCTCTTGCTCCTCGGACCACCCCCGTATTACCTCCGTTTTTCTATAGCAGTGCGTATTTATATTCCCGATCTTGTTTTATTCTGTAATCTGAGAAAACACTTGAGGGTTGGAAAACGTGACCTCACGCCTCATCCCCTGGTGGTCAAGCGTGAACGACGTACACAGTTCTCGGACACTAGTCAAACACTCCAAGAGAAGCGGGCCGGCCGTGTTGTTTCAGCAGTGCCTTGATCCTCTTGTGAGACCGGAGGCCAGTACAGTGACGCAAGTCCCAGGACATCCAACACAGGGAGGGCAGAACTGCTATGTCACCAATACTGACAGAAAAAATGTCACCTTTATTAACAATGTCGCAAATATTGCGAAAAAAACTTGTTTCAGGTATTAGCCAAATCAATAAAGAACAGAGAACACTTTGCTTGACAAGAAGGTATGTCCTTGATATGTTTTGCTGAGCTCTGTTTTTAAGCGGAAGAGTGTCATTTATTTCTACTCACAGCTAATGTATTCAAAACATCGTACACTTCCCAAAATGATAGTCTGTGACCAACACCTGCATTTGATATCCACAAACGTAGACTCTCACAATCCAGGAACACAAAAACAATGGATAAAATTCGAAATAAGTTTATGTCTTTTCAAAAATAATAAACTACACTCGTAATCGTATTTCCGACAAATAAAATATCCTTCACAGAGCAAGGTGGCCCAGTGGCGTTTGTTCCTTCCACCTGAACTTTGCAACAACACTGCGAGTGTCAGGGTCCGTCAATTCCCGTTCTGATGCTGATGAAATAAGGAAGCGCGCCAAACAACGTAGGGAACAGACACAGAATCTCCAGGTGAGAGCTGGACGGAGCCACAGCCTGACACAACCTGGACTCCAGTGAGCGGGAACAGAGCGGCGGACAATACTTTGACCACTGGCTACTTCCCGTGCCCCTGTGCCAGGCAGACAGGCAGGCAGGCAGCGCGGGCGGCCGGCTGGCAAAGCTTCCAAGCTAATCCTCTCTCGCCCACTGCGACGCGGGACGGCTCTGCCTAGTCAGGTATGACAAGTCGGGTGGACGAGGGGCGATCTGCAAGGACCAGGCCCTCAGACTGGACAATAGACCGGACCTGCCCACGTCTCACAATGGCCGGCGATATCACAGGAGCTCGTTGCCTTGCGGCGGCACAATACCCAGCGCTTTTCCGCATCAGAGCTCTTGGGTTCCGGTCAGTGGACGGAGAGATTGGGCTAGACTGACCGGCGTAAGTGGACAGCCTTTACTTTGAGAGGTCTAAGTCCCGATGTGTGGGTGGATGCGGGCGGAGAGAGGGGTCGGGGGAATAAAACG